ATATATAGAGAGAGAGAGAGAGAGAGAGACAGAGATGGAGAGGCAGCATCAGAGGATTTAAAGCACTTGTCCCTGTGATCATCACTCTTCTTTTAGATTTCTGTCCAATTAGAAGTATCTCAGAATTCTGAAGCCAGCATCAACACCTTGAATAACAATGGCAGTGATGTTATCCAGGCTGGAGAAAGGAAAACATATGTCTGGACCATTTTTCCAAAGAAACTGGGTAAGTAGCTCCATGTTTGTATCTTAAGTGAAAAATATCTACCCACGTTTTTATAAAAAATCTCTGTTTTCCTTCATTTTCAAAAGAACCTTACATAGGTTCTCGCTATGTAACCCAAACTGGCCTGGAACCCGTTATATAGACCAGGCTGGCCTCTATCTCACAGAGATCTGCCTACCTCTGCTGGGATTAAAGGTGTGCACTACCACACTCTCCTGTGTATTTTTAATTTCATTTTTTATTGCTGTACATTAGAAATTCTTTTTTATTTATTCTTTTTATTTTTCTTTTTGTGTGTATGAGTGTATTGCCTGCATGTGTGTAGTGCACCTGTGTTGTGCAATGTCCACAGAGGTCAGAAGAAGGCGTCCCCTGGAACTGGAGTTATAGATGGTTGTTAACTGCTACGTGGGTGTTGGGAATTGAACCTGGGACCTCTGCAAGAGCAGCCAGTGCTCTTAAGCACTGAGCCATCTCTCCAGTCCCTCAAAATTCTTATATTTTTTATTGTTAATACTGTGTAGAAGAAGAAATCACAATTCATTTGCATAAAAGCATAAGATTTAACAGTATAAATGCTAATTGGCACGATCTATTAAGTTCACATATCATATCCCAAATGAAGGCCACATTTCTTTTTTGATTTATTTATTCTATATGTATGAGTGTATTACCTGCATGTATGTAAGTGCACCCCATGTTGTGCAAGGCCTGTGGAGGAAAGAAGAGGGTGTCAGATCCCCTGGAACTGGAGGACAGTTGTTAGCTGCCATGTGGGTGCTGGGAATTGAACCTGGGTCTTCTGCAAGAGCAGCCAGTGCTCTAATTGCTGAGCTGTCTCTCCAACCCCAAGCCACACTTCTTCAATTCTCTCTTGATTCTTGTACTTTTCATTTGCTTCTTCATCCAACATTCACATAAATTCCACTTTTACAAAAATTTCTCCTCAGCAACAATCATCAATTATGGGAATTACTGGGATTTTTCTTTTACTAAATTTACTAAATATATCACAAGACAGCAAAATACTGAACAGTTGGAGGAGGATCAAACAGTGAAGACGCTGTTGTCTTGATATTTGGCAACTTAGAAAAGTATTTAGAAATATCTTGTTGATAATGTAGGGGAAGGATAACATTGAACAGTTTAGTAGAGAAGGAAGGCTAAATGTACACAATATTTACTTTAAGAAATTTTAAAAATTATGATGTGAAGGGGCTGGAGAGATGGCTCAGTGATTAAGAGCACTGGCTGCTCCTACAGAGGACCCACGTTCAATTCCTAGAGCCCACATCGCAGCTAACAACCGTCCATAACTCCAGTTCCAGGGGATCTGACACCTTCTTTTGACCCCCATGGGCATTACACGGCATGGGTGCACTTACATACATGCAGGCAATACACTCATACACATAAAATTTTAAAAATAAAATATAAAAAATATGACATTAAAATTATTTTATTTCATGTCTTGTATTCATTGTATTATTTCATCAGTGAAGTGTGTAAGCTTTTTTTAGTTTTACTGTGCTAGTGATGTGCCTCAGACTTTTTTTTTCTACTGGAGTTAAACTGTCAATTTTTATTTGTGTAGTATCTTCAGAAATCTCACTCTGGAAAGTGAGTCAGAATACCATACAAGCTTGTATGTTTTATGGCATTGTTTAGGAGGCACAGACCTAAAAGCAGCAAAGAAACCAATAAACAAAACTCACTATAAAGAAACAGGATGGTGTATTGGTTACTTATATAGGCACACAGGTCATATTAAGCTTTGAAAATAAGCTTTTCTAATCCTCTAAGTTAAAAAATTAATTTATTATATTTATTTTATGTGTACGAGTATAATGCCTGTGTGCATGTAAGTAGACATGTGTTGTGCAATGCCCATGAGGTCAGAAGAGGGTATTGGATCATCTAAAATTGGAATTAGGGACAGTTGTTAGCTGCCATGTGGGTGCTGGGACCTGAACCCAGGTGCTCTGCAAGAGCAGCCAGTGCTAACTGCTGAATCACCTCTCCAACCCCAATCCTCTAATTTTTATAAACAAGGAAACTGGAGATTAGTTTTAATTATATACTGTGATACCACAGAAGTGAAAAACAATGGATTCCTTGTTAGCACTTGATTTTAATTCCATGCCCCTTCTGCTGTATCATAGTTTACTATTTTTGTTTGATCTTAGGACGTTAGGAAGCCCAGTTATTGGATGTTTTGTTATTCTATGGCCCTTTGTAAACAATATCCAGGTGTCAGCTCAGTTGACTTCATAGAATATCTTTCTTAAAATTTCTTAAGTTCTAAGTAAGTAAATGAGTAACTTATTTAATACTGGGAATCTTGAAATTGGTAAAACAAAACCTATCACATATCTCCAAGCAGAAGAAGCAAATTATTTTGAACTAAGCATTAAATGTGATGATAGAATTTGATTCATCCAATTCAAGATGTGATTCACAGACTTGGATCATTTCCTGTTTTAGAAAGAGCCAATGCTCTCTAGCTTAAACTTGCTGACATTTTCCAGGTAAAGTGAATATTACTGTAGTTGCTACATCTAAACAAAGTAGCACCTGCCCAAGTGAAGCCACCGAGCAACAAAATGTCAACTGGAAAGACACAGTGGTCAAAAGCTTATTAGTAGAGGTACGTACGTACGAAACTATCAAGTTCTTCCTGATAAGAAACAGAATATCTAGCCAGGCGTGGTGGCACACACCTTTAATCCCAGCACTCGGGAGGCAGAGGCAGGCAGATCTCTCTGAGTTCAAGGCCAGCCTGGTCTACATAGTGAGTTCCAGGAAAGCTGGGGCTACAGGGGGCTACAGGAGACCCTGTCTCAGAAAGAAAGAAAGAAAGAAAGAAAGAAAGAAAGAAAGAAAGAAAGAAAGAAAGAAAGAAAGAAAGAAAGAAAGAAAGAAAGAAAGAAAGAAAGAAAGAAAGAAAGAAAGTCTAAGAGATTAACTATTAAACGGTATTCTTGAAAATATTTAATTGACCAAAGCTACTTTTTAAAAATTTTTTTAACTTTTTATTGTTTTTATTTTATGTGTATGTGTGTATTGTCTGCATGTAGTTAACACAAACATTTCACTTTAAACAAATTACAATAGCATAAAATCATCCTTTTTTAATTAATACCTCACCCAGGGACTAGGTATATGGCTCAGTGGGAAAGTGTTTGCCTAGCATGTCCAAATCCCTGGGTTCTATTCCCAACACCTCCAAAACAAAACGACTAACAAACAGAACAGCTCTAGTACCTCACAAAAGATGATCACTTCCCAAATAAGCTTTATGATTTCTTGTTTTCTCTTGATTCATGAGGCAGCCTGTAGATCTCCTGCTCTCCCTCCTGCCTCTTTTTTAAAAAAAATATTTGTTTCATGTGTATGAGTGTTATGCCTACATGTAGGAAAGTGCATCTGTGTCATGCAGTGCCCACAGAAGGCTTCGGATCCCCTGGAACTGAAGTTACAGACGGCTGTTAGCCACCATGTGGGTGCTGGGATTCAAACCCAGGTCTTTTGCAAGAACAGTCAGTGATCTTAAATGCTGAGCCATTTCTCCAGCCCCGCCTTACCTCTCCTTTTTAACTAATCCTAAAGTCCAGGAGAGAAATCTACTTGTCCTATGCTTGTGAGCAGTTCCTGACAGCTCAATAAAAATCAGTGCTAACCAGGAAGCATTTTGCTCCCCCCTTCAGCACATCCCTACGTTGCAAAACACTTTGTATACTGTAGATCCTAGACAAGACCAGAGCAGTTGAGAATATCATTCATAGCACTACCTATGAGAGCCAGAGCCTAAAGGGATGTGGATGGTGTACAGTGGCTTCCAGATGGGAAGGATGGGGACAATATGTGGATCTCTGAGCAACCTTGAACCAGTCACACCTAAGGGAGCTGAGGCTTGATTGCTCATCCTTCATGGAAAGATTAGCCAAACTTATTTTTTCTTTCTCTTTTTTTATTTATTCCCTAACAGCCTGAAGGTATTAAAAAAGAAACAACCCAGAGTTTCCTTATCTGTACAAAAGGTAAGGGGGCTTGATACGAAGATACTTGTCCTAGAGAAATTTGTAAGCAGGGCAGGCTTGCTTCCTCCCTCTAGCATGAGTCCACTTGCGAGATGATTGCATTTAAAATTCCTCTTTGGAGTTTTTACTTTAAGTTTTAGAAAATAGAAAGTATACTTATGAAATCTTTTCTTGGTCATCTAAATGATATTAGTTTACCTCAGCCTATTTTCTCCATCTCCTATGTTTATATGATTGTTGGTCAATGTTGTCAGTGAAAAACCAGGATGATGTCCAAACAACATGAACATGTTTGCTTTATACACTTGGTATCAAATAGTTGTAGATTTGTTACTTCTCCTTAGTTACTTGGTTTGTGGCCATCATGAGCATTACGTAGCTTGTCAATGGTAATCTGAATTTTTTTCTTGAGGCAGGGTCTCTGTGTAGCCCCTGGAACTAGCTATGTAGACTAGGCTGGCCTCAATCTCAGAGATATCAGCCTGCCTCTGCCTCTCCAGTGCTGGGATTTAAGGCGTGTACCACCACATCTGGCCCTTGGTAATCTGATTTTAATGCTTACTCAAAGTCTTTGAGCAATCACTCCATGAGCTTCCCATACACCATAATCGGTAGTTTTTATGCTTTTACATTTTTCTGTACATACTTTAAGCACTGAACTGATAGGGAATGGGGACCACTGTCTAAAAGACTTAAACACCATTTTCTCTAAATTTGATCAAACTCAATTTTTTTAAATTTTTTTATTACATTTATTGACTTATGTTTGAGAGTACATGCATACCATGTAGCAGCATGTGTGGAGGTCAGAAGACAACTTATAGGAGTCAGTTCTCTTCTTCTACCTTGTGGATCCAAAGAACTGAACTCAGGTGTCAGACTTGTTGGCAACTGCCTTTACCCACTGAGCCATCCCACCAGCCCAAATTCTCAATTTCATTTCACCTAGCAAGCAAAAATAATTAATGATATCTCTTCTTCATGCAGTTATTTAAAAACTCCACTTCTGGGGCTGGAGAGATGGCTCAGTGGTTAAGAGCATTGGCTGCTCTTGAAGAGGACCCAGGTTTAGTTCCCAGCACCCACATGGCAGCTAACAACTGTCTATAACTCCAGTTCCAGGGGATTTGACGCCCTCTTCTGACCTCCTTGGGCACTGTATGACATGCGTGCACTTATACACATGCAGGCAATACACTCATACAGATAAAAAATAAAAATAGTAGCCGGGCATGGTGGCACACGCCTTTAATCTCAGTACGGGAGGCAGAGGCAGGCGGATCTCTGTGAGTTCAAGGCCAGCCTGGTCTACATAGTGAGTTCCAGGACAGCTGGGGCTACAGGGAGACCCTGTCTCAAAAAGACCAAAAATAAATAAATAAAAAAATAAAAATAAAAATAGTAAATAAAATATTTTTAAAACCCTTCACTTCTATTGTTTGTAAAAGGAAATCATTGCATTATTTTCTTTTCAGGTACAAAAGCCTTGAAGCAAATAGATTTGCAGCTGCCAAGCGATGTAATAGAAGGGTCAGCCAGGTCCTTTGTCACCGTTGTAGGTAAAATCATTAAATTTTGTGTCATGGTGATTTGAAAATCTTGGTTGAGGTAGTCTCTCACACACAAAAAAAGTTGTAAATTAACAGAATGGAGAGATTGTCTGAAGCTATTGATCAGAGGAAGTTGTGTTCAGATCTGTTTCAATATGGGACCTGAAAGGATGCAGCACCATTTCCAGAACTGCAGGCCTAGGAGACACCAGCAGGCTAGGAGACACCTGCAGCCCTAGGAGACACCTGCAGCCTAGGAGGCACCTGCAGCCCTAGGAGGCACTTGCAGCCCTAGGAGGCACCTGCAGCCCTAGGAGACACCTGCAGCCCTAGGGGGCACCTGCAGCCCTAGGAGACACCTGCAGCCCTAGGAGACACCTGCAGCCTAGGAGACACCTGCAGCCCTAGGAGGCACTCAGGCAGGTAGATCACAACTGGTGATTAGGAAACAAAAGATTCCACTCTAACCTGTTAATCTGGAATATTAAATTTACCTCTTGGAGCCTCAGAATAAACTTTTCCTGTTTTGGTACTGGGAATTTTCTCAGTAAAAAGTGAAATATGTTTCCTAAAAAGGCAAACGTCTTTGTCATTATCATTCAAACCTTTTAGAGAGGAGTGGATTACAGTTTGTATTTCACAGGGTCAGTTTCTCAAAACAAAAACCAGAAGCAAACAAGCAAATAGACACTGTTCCCAAACTTTCTCTCTCTGGTAATGAGTTTTTCAGAAATATTTTTCATAGCAGAAACTCCTTTAATTCCACTTTTCAGAGCTCCCTCCCTTTAGAATTCCTCCATGAAAGAGCTTATTTACATGTTGGAGCTTCAATTTAAAGGTTTCCTACTCCCACTGTGTCCCTTTAAAAATATTTTATTTATTTTTATTTTATATCTATAAGTGTTTTGCCTGCTTGTGTGTAAGTGCACCGTGTGCATGCAGGGTCTGCAGAGGCCAGAAGAGGGCACTGGTTCACCTGGAACTGGAGTTATAGATATTTGTTAGCAGTCATGTGGGTGCTGGGACCCAAACCCAGGTCCTCTGCAAGAGTGGCCAGTGCTCTTAAACCCTGAGCCGTCTCTCCAGCCTCCACTGTTTCTGTTTTACCTACAGTTATTAATGCTGAGTTGGAAGCACAAATGAGCATAAGCGCTGTGACTCTCCACCTTTTCTATCTTCAGGGGACATCCTTGGAGTTGCAATGCAGAATCTGGAGAGCCTTCTCCAAATGCCTTATGGGTGTGGCGAGCAGAATATTGCCCAACTAGCCTCTGATACCTATGTTCTCGACTACCTGAGAGCTACTGAACAGCTGACGGAGGAAGTGAAGTCTAAGGCTCTGCTTCTCCTATCTAATGGTGAGACTGCTGAAGTAGTTTCAGACCATAATGGAAGAAATCAATTACAACTCGTATCAAAATGTCATTAAGTCTTATTTTGTGGTCCTCTGGTGAAGCTGAAGAGGACCTTTCAGGTACTCCGAGTCCTACTTATGTGTTCTTTGTACTTTAAAATCTGTGTCTGTCATTCAGTTGTTTTTTGTTTGTTTGTTTTTTGTCTTTTTGAAACAGGGTCTCCCTGTAGCATCAGCTGGCCTGGAACTCACTATGTAGACCAGGATGGCCTTGATCTCAGAAAGATCTGCCTGTCTCTGCCTCCCGAGCGCTAGATCAAAGGCTTGTGCCACCATGCCCTGTTTATGAACTCATTTTTAAATGTATATTTATTATAAAATCTTGTTTGTTGTTGTAGTTAATAGTGGCTATAATGATTCATTTCTCAACTCCTAGACCCACTTGCCTAGTTGTGTTCCACTTCAGTGAAGTGATTGGTAAGGCACTGATTGGTAAGTATCAATGATGAGCCAGTTTTTAAACCTGGCGTAGTCTCTCTGTACAGAGGGAGATAACCTCAGTTTTAGAAACTAAAGTGATCATCCTAGTGAATTTTCTTTGTCTAACATCAAAACCCAGGATTGTACCAAATCATTCTTTTTCTTCTTTCTTGGGCTATAACATAGCTTCTTACTGTGTTCTATTTTAGGCTATCAGAAGCACTTGACTTTCAAAAACTCCGATGGTTCATACGGCATGTTTTGCCAGATGAATCAGAAAGGAAGCATACGGTGAGAGACAGAAATTTTATTTTTGGTAATATACAAATTGAGCAGGGTTTACAAGAATGTGAGGGCAGCTAGAGTTCAGTGGAGGATTTTCCAACAAAGTGGGTTTGAAAGTAGATTTACAGAGAATAAACTAAAACTCAAAGATTTGATTATTTTCATTTTGATGCAACAATATGCCCACAGACTCCTGAAATTTGTTTAACAGTGGTTTTCTATGATGACACAGCTTATCAAGTCTGTGACAAGTTTTACATCATGCTCTGATCTCTCAGAGTCTTGTTTAGATTCAGGAAGGGGAAACTAGAGGGTCCCAGAGCACCTGATTATACCAGTCCTCTCTCTGTGTTCATGTAATCGGATAGACTACACAGTGAGACCTTAGGGCAACTAAAAGCTACAGACTCTCATTTCTGCAGATTGCTATTCATGTTTTACTGACCTCAAAGAAAGAGTCACTGTCAATCAAGACTTGTAGCAGTCAACATTAGACAAGCTACATGCATGCATTACCCAAAGGGAACAACATTTTTTGAATAATTTATATCTCTCTCCCTAAGTTTTGCTATGGTGATCCTCATTACAGGCTCAGTGCCCTTACTTTCAAGACACTAGAGAGAATGAAGGAATATATATTCATTGAAGACACAGTCCCAAAACAGACTTTAATCTGGCTTTCAAGCAAGCAGAGATCAAATGGATGCTTTAGAAGGGGCAACAAGCTTGTCAACAATGCTTGGGAGGTAAGAAACTAATGACAAGCCTTTTCTTGTCCTTCTGTGTTTTCTCCCTTCACTGCCCCACCTCATCTGGTACATAATCTTTTCTTGTGTGTGCTACACCTTCCAAGTGTCCTGTAGTCATACATCTCCTGCATCCTGGTCAAGAGCATCATTCCTACTTCATGAATATTTAACTGGAGCCTAGACATAACTGCATAAATCTTTTGTTTGACTTATTCAGCCTTTAGCCTTTCTGTAGAGCCAGGCTTCAGTGATAATTTAACTGGGAACAGAAGAGGGGAGAGAAGGGAATCTAGAGAGAAAATGTCTATAAACTTGGAATTAAACATATACTAAAGGAGACCATCTCGAGTGTGTGAGGAACATAAATTCATTCCTATTCATGAATGGCAAGCAAGTTTGAGGGAGAGTATCTAGAACGTCCAAGGAAGCAAGCTCTTCCAACACTCTCTGGATGAAAAGCATGTTGGTTAAGCTTGCCCTGGACCACAGTGCAAACAAGTTGAACTGTATCCTTGACAGGACTCACCCTGTCCATGTGGAGATGTGCATACACATATCCAGTAGGCGGTGGTGTCCTTTCCTTCTGACTTTCTTTCTTCAAATACAGCGGTCCACCTCCACCACATCCTCCATCTCTTTTGTTCCCTTAACCTTCCTGCTTCCCTCTAGATGGTCAGAATTCCCTATCAGGACTTTGCTTCTCTATCTTTTATAATCACCCCACCTCCTGATCTTAGATAATACAATATATCTAATCCACTTCAAAATATGGGTGAGCATTAACTTACTTTTTATGCAACCTGTTTCCAAATTGATTTACTCTCTTATGTAGTTGGGAAGAAGATGTCTTTACTAGGTATTTAGATAATCCAGAGATTATTTAAAATATGGAGATGTGCATAAATTATATGCAAACATTTGTCCCATTTTATATAGGGGAGTTTAGAAGCATCATATTTAGTATCCGCAGGAAGGCCTGGAACTAATCCATCATGAATTAGGTCCTATGTCTTACCTTAGTGTTTACCACATACTGTTATTGGTGCCTTGACAACTTAGTTCCTAAGGAATGTTTCTTTTCCAAAAGAAGAGGTTGCCCCTTGCTTAAATAGGTAAAAAGGGATTTTTATACTAGACCAATGGATCCAAATGCCAGTCAGTCTGAATTTTATTTTAATCAGAATAACTATAGTACCCATTAAATTCATTTCCCTGTTTTACTACTGAAGTTTAAAATTACAGTCTTGGGCTGGGGATGTAGTTCAGTTGGTAGAATGATTGCCTAGCATTGTAAGAAAACTTGTATTCGATCCACTAGTAATATATAAACTGTACCAGGCATAAACTTGGATTGGTGATACATGCCTTTAATTCCAGCACTCAGGAAGTAGAGTCAGGAGGATCAGAAGTTCAAGGTCATCCTCAGATAGCAAGTTCAAGATCAGCCTGGATTATATGTATGTGTATTCAATATATACTTTTGTTGAATTTTGTGCATTTCATGCAATACATCTTCATCATATTTAGATCCTCTCCCCATCTGCACCCTCCTATACCCTCCCCACCTGACCTCACACATTCTGTCATAATATGTTAAAGCCTATCGAGTCAAGTCTCTGTTCCCAGATATCCCTCAGTGTGAGTTTCTTCACTGGAACCTGGTCAGCCTATCTAGCGTCACTCCCCTGAAGAAGACCAACTCTTCCTTACTCAGCAGTGATCAGCTGCCAGTAGTTCCTCAGCTACAGTTGGAGCTCATATATATATATATATATATATTAAACCATGATCTATTGTAGGGATACTGGTTCACTTAATACTTTTGTTTCTCTGCAGGAAATTTTATGCATAGTCAGTGTGAAATCCATGTGACTTTTTTGTTGTTGTTTTGTTTGAGACAGGGTATTCCTGTAGCCCCAGCTAGCCTGGAACTCTTTATGTAGACCAGGCTGGCCTCAGTCTCACAGAAGTCTGCCTGCCTCTGCCCCCTGAGTGCTGGGATTGAAGGTGTGTACCATCACATCCAGTTAATCCATGTGATTTTTAAATGCTTTTCTAATGTATTCTATAATCATCTGTGAGTCTGACAACTGTAACTTCCTCATGGACTTTTTCAGGAATTTTCAGGAAGTTTTCAGTTCCTTTCTGTCTCATTCCATCAGAACTTTTTTCTTTGCTTTCTTTAAATTAAAAACATTTTTTTATTTATTTATTTTATGAGCGTATTGTCTGCATGTGTGTTAGTGCACTCATGTCATGCAGTGCCCGAGCAGGACAGAAGAGAGGGTCAGATCCCCTGGAACTAGAGTTGCAGATTGCCATGTGGGTGCTGAGATTCAAACTCAAGTCTTCTGCAAGAACAGCCAGTGCTCTTAACCACTGAGCCATCTCTCCAGCCCCTGCTTTCTTTAAATTAATACCAAAAGAATCACATGAATTGCTTGGAATGTATGGTTACCACCAGGCCACATAATAATTATTATTTATAACATTAAACATACTGAAAATTTTAATGTTTTATCACATTATTGCATTGGATTTTAGTAGAATATTGCTCAGATAGCATGACTATTAGTTATTCAATTTGAAAATTACATGTTAAAGTGTTTTATGAATAAGCATTTCTTTCCCAGTTAATCTCCATTCAGAAAAGTGGCTGTTCTTTTGTGTCCTGTGGCCCTTGTGGCTCACTACTCTTCTGTTTTCAGGGTGGAGATGAAGAGGAAGTGGTACTTACTGCTTATGTCGTCACGGCCTTCCTTGAAGCTGGGCTCAATTTCACTGTATGGATTCCTGTTGTCTTTTGTCTTCAGTTAACTCCTTAGACTCTACTTTGAGAATGATTCAAAATTCTTAGCCAGGATAAAATACCAAGATATTTACTTCTTTACTATCCTTTAAGTTAATTAATTAGCTAATTAATTAATTAATTACACGTGTATGTATGTTTTCCCTGCATGTATATAAATGCACCATGTGTGTGCAATGCCCATGGAGGCCAGAAGGAAGCATTGGATCCCTTAGAACTGAAGTTAACTGACAGTTGTTAGCCACCATGTGGGTGCTGGGAATTAAACCACGATCCTCTGCAAGAGCAATCAGTGTTCTTATATGCTGAGCCATCTCTCCAGCCCCCATTACTTATCCTTTAAATTGATGCTGTTCAGGTTTTTTTTTGGAGGGGGGGTTATTGATGCCTTTGATGAACAAGATTGAGATATCCCTAGATTGAGTACACTCACACACATACTTAGTTTTTCAAGTGATCTCAGGTATTGACATGTTTCCTGAAGTTCAACCATGAACTTCAGGTTAAGAACAATCTGCTCTGGTGGGCCTGATGACACACACCATAATTCTAGCATTCAAGAAACTGAGGCAAGAGAATCATGATGTTTGAGGCCCAGCCTGGGCTACGTAACAAGACTCTGATTCAAAAAACAAAAATAACCATCACCAGAAATATGAACCTCTGTTCCAAGTAAAGCCATAATCTGGACCCGTTTCTAAGTCACCGAGTAAGCATTTTCACTGTGGTTCCAATTCATATGGCAGATTACCCTGTTCTAATGCTTTTTCAGGGTCATTAGTACATCATGAAGATTGTCCAGAAATGCAAACTTCTATTTAAGGCATTATAATAGAATACTATAGATTTAAAAGAACTGTATGTGGGCCAGCAAGATGGCTTAGTTGGTAAAGTGCTTGCTTTGAAAGCATGAAGACCTGAGTTCAATCCCTAGAAAAATGTGAAAATACAGGGTGGTGTGTGCTAGTAATCCTGGTACTGGGGAGACAAATAGAAACAAGAGGACCCCTGGGGCTCACCCACTAGCCAGGCTAGCATGATTGGCCAGCTCCAGCCAAAGAGAGACTCTGCCACAAAGAAGGTCAGTGGCATTCCTCAGAATGACAGCCAAGGTTGTCATTTGGTCACCATTCATACATGCACCCATATATACATGGATAAGAACATACATGCACCACACACACATACATACATACACACATAAAAATTGTATGTTTTAATACATAGAAGAAATGTACAGTATAGCTAAAACATTACTTTCTTATTACTTAAATTTTGTTTTTTATACTAATAATGATATTTCAAATTTATTGTAATAATATTATTGTAATAAT